AGATCCAGGGAGATCTGATGTTTCCATGGGCACTTGTATTTACGTGAACGTTCACACACACACACACACACACACACACACACACACACGTAAGTAAACTGTTAAAGGGGTTGATAAGGATTCCCGTGGAGGAGGACTACCTCTGGTGCCCTTCACTCTGGGTAGTCACAGGCTGCCTGTGTGAAATCTGCTCTTCCGGTGAAGGTCACGGTCAGGGAACCACAGTTGCCCCTTTCTGCAATGGCAGCCCGGCCATTGCCAGTGCTTAGTGTCTGGGCCAGGTGATTCTGGGTTCAAAAGACTGAAATAGAACCTCACACAGACTGAAAAATGGCGAGTAAACTTTATTCCGCAGTGACAGTCCAGAGCTGAGAGACCTGCGCTGTCAAGAGGAACAAAAGCCATGGGGGTGAGGATGTTCCAAGGCCCTGCTTACTCTGGGCCTCTTTTTGGGGGCTCAGCAGGAGTCTGTTTGCCAAGGGATGCAGCTTGGGTGGTTCTCTGTTATGACAGAGAGAGTGAGTTAAGCTACTGCACATGCCCCTTCCCATAAATGCACCCGATTCTAATCATATGCATGCCCAGTTATGCATAGGCATACGATGGCAGTAGGGTAAGCTTCCCAAAGATTCCCTCAAAGGGTGCAATGTGTCTTGTTGTTCATGCAGTCAAAGCTAGTCAGGCCAGACTGGCCTCCCTACTCTCTTACTGAAAGTGATCTGGGATAGAACTTGTTTAAGTTTGATAACCATCAAGAGGAGAGATTTATTGCATTGTATGGAGTGGGGTGTGAATGCACCTTGGTGGAAGTAGGGTCCAAAGTGGCTGGCTGGTTGCTAGATGCATCATTCAGAGTGAGGTGTGCATTGCACTGTACATGCAGGTCCTCAGCTGTAAGTACATTCTTGGACATAGCCCAAGCCAAGTAGCTCCAGGTTGCTAAGACGTTCCCTGCGGTTGTTTGCCTCAGTAGGAAAGAAAGATACCTGCTCCCTTCCTGTCAGGGTGTTCCCCAGGGCTGCGGTTCAGGAAGCCATCAGCCTCTTGAGTGCAGAGGCTCAGAGGGTGGGAGCAGGTCCAGCCAGTGCCTTCCTTAAGTGCTGTGGACAACATCACGCTTTTTCACACGAAGAGTGGGAAAATGTGTGTCTCTCAAATTTCATCTTTCTTCAAGAATCTGACCACATCTAAAAGGAAATGAGTTGTCAGTTCTGGCAAAAGTGACACTGATCTGTAGATCCTCCTGCGGGTTGTAATAAAGACGCACAGGTCAGAGGTGATGGTGAACGAACAGTAAGAATCTTGTGTGCCTACTACACTGTGCTCCTCAAAAGATTCCATACCGCCCACCCAACACCCTGCAAACCCTGTGCTAAGACAAAGCTGTCCACACTGTCCCCCAGCCAGCAGCATCGACAGCCGCCAAACATGTCCCCAGCCAAGGACTCTCCCCAGGACACCATCAGCTCCTGAGGTGCTTTTGTCTTCAATACACCATTAGACACTCAATGGATGTAATGGAGGAAATGCAATCATGTTTTTCGTGTGTCAAGGGCCCTTAGCCTTGCTTGTCTGTTTATGTCATTTTAGACAAAACGACCTAGCTTTCAGTTTGAATGGTCCAGGTCATGGAAAGGACAGATTTGAGTACCCTCATTCTCAAGTAACGTGGTTTTGTTCCAGCAGAGAAATTAACTCCTAACTCTGTTACGTATTAAGCAGAAACTGTATTAAAAATTCTGTTTACTAAAAGTTATCCTGCAGGACTGTACAATCCAAGGCTAAGCATGTTAAAACTCAGGTATCAAATCTCTGAAGCGATGACAGGACCCACATTCTCACCTTTGTGATGGGCACAACTCATGCTTCTTGAGCTACGACACCCCAGGTTTCTTCACAAAGCTGACTTGTAAAGATAAAACCATCAAGCCTTAAACAAAATATTGCTTTACTTCTGTCCTATGCATTTTTTAATTCTATTTGAAAGATTTTTGTAGCTCTCATAGTCAAATACATGGTCCTAGGAAGCAAATGGCTTCCAAAGAATAAGTTGGTTCATTTTAGATGCTGGTACCTCAGTGAATACACTGCACGGAGAATCTGCACCCACCGCAGCTTCCCGACAAGTTGTTAGTGTCCTTTACAGACAGTGCCCTGAACTGCAGACCAAGTGCCCGAGCTTGTGAGCCTGTGGTGAACCCTTCACATTCGTACCTCAATAGTTACCAAGTACGATACATTTAAAAGCATACACTGACTGCATAATTAAACCTTCAAAGGCATGACAAGCAGATCTGGGGCCAGTGATGCCACACAGCTGGTAGAGTTCTTGCCTAGCATGCTTGAAAACTGAGGTTTGAGACACAGCACCACACACGGATGTAGAAGTCTATAGGTTCTTGGGAGATGGAGGCAGGAGGTCATCCTCAGTGCTAGGTCATTTCCATCCTGCTAGTGCTCAGTGCTCTGGAAGGTCTACCTCATGCTGCATTAGGGATTCACCAGCCTATTCCATCCAAACAGGAATTACAAACTGGAAATTCCTTAAAAACCCCTGTCATGCAGAAGACATCGCCCTCACTGGCAGTTCCGAGAGCCCATGATTGGCAGGCTTTCTTCATTCCAGTTTCACATTACCATTTAAACCAACCAAAACACTCATCTCGCCAGAGAGTAAATTGCCACTTTGAAACATGAAAAACAGGGAAAGTATAAAATTCTGAATAACGGCCATTGTGAGCATCTAAGCACTGTGTGGTTGTGGGAATGAAGCAATTTGCATCTTGTTATGTTCCCAGCCTTCTTGCTTTCATAATTATTGGAACACTTGAGATCATTAACGCTGCCAAATACAAATTAGAAAAATAAAAGTCTCCCAACTGACACAGACTTTTTCCAATCTCAACACCAGGGCTCCAACTCCTAGAATTTTCTACATGGAACTGATCTTTTTATTCTATTGCAATTATTTCTTTGTATTCATAAGCTCCACTAAACATGTATATCTGGAGCAATGAAACACCTGGGGTTTTCCCTTTGGTAGACGAGAAAGCATGGTTATGTTTGGCTATGGGGTGGACAGAAAGTGACATGCTGTCATCTGCTGTTCCTCAGTGACAGCAGAGACTAATCCAAAGATGGGAGCAATGCTGAGGACATACTGCTTCCACAGCCGGGCTGTGCTCACTGAGATGGGGGTTCCCTCTTGTTTGTGGTCACATATTAAAGGGGCTTTAATCTTGTAGATAGAGCTACCTAGACAATGAGATTATAAGACTAAAAAATGGGAGAAGCCATTTCTGGGTACATGGCATACAGTGTGGGGGATGGGAATATTAATTTGATCATGGTAATCACTACACAATGTTTACATATGCCAAACCAACACATTCTCAATCCTGGCTATGCAGAATTTGTTAGCTAAATATAATATTTTAAAATAAAAAGAGTACAAGGTCAGAGACAAAAAGGAAAATAGGAGGTAGCCTCTCCATGGGCTAGGAGATAAGGAGAGCCAAGCTGGAGACACAGAGAAGCCGAGGCTAGAGGGGCCATAATGCAGGAAAGGGCAGAGTCTACAAGGAGCTGGGCTGCAGCCTGCCCACAATCCAGGATGCCAACACTGATGACCAAAGCAGCCTTGGGAAGCACCAGAGGCCGCTGAAGTCAGGGTCTCTGAAGTGGAGAGGCCCAGTAGACAAGCTCACAGGGACTGAGGCTAGATTTGAACGGACTCAGCTTGGAAGGGTTGAGCAGCATTGAAGACTTGAGGACTTTGTACTAGAGTCCTACCGAAGCATCCCCAGGGCTTTGTCCACTGGACACGAGTGTTTCAATGTGTTTGTATAAATTTCAAAAATAACCTTTGTAAAAGTCAATGCAAGAAAGTATGGACACAAGAGTAGCCCCTGCATCGTTTCATCCCTAACTAAAGCCTTTTTTAAAGACTGGGGTGCCTTAGTACCGGACAAATGAGCCCACTTAGGGGTACTCTAGCTGACTGCTGGTGTCAGTTTCAGATGACAAACATGTCATTGATGTCTCTACATTGGAAGGACAATGTCCTAGGGGAACCTGACTCACTCCAGGACTCGACTTGTACTGGACCTCCTGTGGTCCCTGCTCAGCCTTTCTGATTTGCCACAGGAAGGCTAGAGTCTGGCAGCCTGGCTGGGGTCATATTAATGCAGCTGAAGCAAACAAATATCAAATACATTTTATAAAACTTTAACCTATTTTTGCAATCTCTGATTTAACTCTATTTTCTAAAGTTCACTATAAAAAAAACTTAAAAAATACTGTGCCTTCTCTAAATAAATATTTATTAAGAATCTGTCTTGAGACTCAGATTGATCCTCGGTGGTGTTCCCCATTCTTCCTAAGAAAGAGGGCTGTAATCAGGGGTGTGCCTTTCATAACATCTATGAAATTGTCACTAAAAGTTCACACATGTGAATTTATGTATATACACATTCCAATACACATGTGCATGCATAAATGTATAATATTTACACAAAATACATTCAGTGTTTTTAGGTCATGCTGCTTTTCAGCTTTGTATCCTGAATTTACCACTGAGTGTTAATATCATTTAAATCAAATTCCCTGGGGCTTCGAGAACCATTTGAAATGAGATGGCTTTTGTTTGTTTTAAATGTACAGCATCAGAAAGTTCATCGCTTTAGGTGTTTAAATGCCAAAATGCAGCTTTGATGTACTTTGATGACTGCAGCGTGACGACCTGCTTCGTGTTATTAGTTGCACATATTTAGTTTGACTATTTATATTTGTTTTTAATTGGCACATTATAATTGCATGTATTTACATGGTGTAGTAGGATGTTTTATGTATACATTGAGCAATAATCAAATCAAGGCACTTGGTACATTCATCATCTCATACAGGGATCATTTCTTTGTGTTGAGAGTATGCAATGTCTTCCTGCTGTTTTGAAATATTCAATGCATGGTGGGGTTTTTTGTTTTGTTTTGTTTTGTAAATCAAACAAGCAGAGTTGCCGCAGTTGAAAGTCAGTGTTCTCAATAACTTTCTATTTCCTTGTGTTGAGCTTAAAAACACACAAAAGTGTGGTGCTCTTTATATTCCTGGCATGTGTTTTAGAGTGGGGTTCTGTGCTCCTGCAACATTGTTGCTGAAGTGGACCTGCTTCTGTTTCTGCTGAGACTCCTGGGTTGTGCTGGATATGAGGAGAGGCACAGAGAAATAGGAGTAGATGAGATAAACCAGCGTGTAGTGACTCTTTTCACTCCTGGGTTAGAAAGTCCTTCAGTCAGGGTCACCCAGAGAAACAGAACCAATAGGAGTGCATATGGGGCACACACAAGGACAGAGGAGTATGTACAGTGCGTACACAGGACATAGAAGTTCACACAGTGCACTTGCATGCAAGGACACAGCAGTACTTATGCACAAACACAGGGCAGGGAGATTGATGGCTTAGAATTTGTGCTTAGGATTGTTGTTCAGGCTGCTAAGTGGAATCCTTCAGAGCAGCCAGTGGAGAATGCAATCCCACTGTAAAGCCAGCAGGCTGGAGGCCCAGGAGAGCTGAGTGAGTGAACAGTGATTATTACAGAGCTTTGAGAAGACCATGGCCTTCTTGGAGAACTCCCTCCTCCTGCAATTAGAGTAGGCTGGCCTTCCTGGCTGAGTTAGTGTATAGCTCTTTCACTTAATTGAAAAGAACCTATGTTTAAAAAGGCTCTCTGTCTAACTCCACCTACCATTTACATGTTACCATCATCAATCTTTATATAAACAAATAGAGTAATGATTGACTCGATATCTAGGGACTGTATGGTCATGTCAAGGTGACCCATAAAATATATCATCCCAGGTACATAACATTCCTTGCATCCATCTATCTATCTACCTATCTATCTATCTATCTATCTATCTATCTATCTATCTATCTATCTATCTATCATCTATCTATCAATTCATGATCTATCTATTTAATCTAACATCTGTGTATCATCTATCTATCTAGCATATATCTATCATCTATCTACCTATCATCTATCTAACTATCTATCTATCTATCTATCTATCTATCTATCTATCTCATGTATCTATCATCTATCACGTATCTATCATGTATTTATCTACCATCTATTTATCATCTACCTACCTATCACCTGTCTGTCTATCTGTCTGTCTGTCTAGCCACCCATTCATCTTAGTGTCAGAAATTAAGGCTGCTGCACACCAGGCAGGTGGTCTACCACTGACTTATACCACACAGCCCTTTTGATCCCTTTAAATATAAAAATCCCTACATGTATATTCCTGCTAGTGATGGGTCAAATGTTTCTGTTCAAATAAAAAAGATTAAAGAGGAAGAAAACATTTGTAAAAGCTAAGCTCCCCTCTCATTAGATACATTACAAAATAAATGTGGGTTTGGACAACTAAGTTCTTATATCTAATCCAAACAAGAAGAAAATTAAAGTGTATCTACACCTGAAACAATACAAGGTTGTCTTTTTTATTTACTTTTATTTATTTGTGTGTGTGTGTGTGTGTGTGTACTCACAAGTGAGTGGAGGTGTCCCCAGAGGCCAGAAGGGAGTAGCTGAGTTACAGGGGGCTGCAGGCCACCTGACCACCTCTGGAAGAACAGCAAGTTGTGTTTGCTTGGCAAGGTATTTTGTTTGCATTAGAGAAAGGGCTCTGTGTGTCTGTGTGTGTGTGTG